TCCCACCTTGACTCCCATCACCCCCCTGATACAACCCCCCCAACTCCCTCAACACCCTCTCCAACGCATTAAACACCTGCCCCCCCGCCCCCAGCACAGCCGCCAGTTCCCGCGTTTGAATCAGACTCTTCCGTGTTGGACGGATAGTGCCCCATTTGTTGTTGTTGTTGCTGCTGCTCTCCTCATCCGACTCTGTGTCCGAGCCAGAACCAGAACCACCCAGCATAGTCCCCCGCAACTGCTCAAGCGGCACGCGCGCGTGTATCTGCAAATCATACTCCACGCGAATAGCGCGTTTGTAAACGCGGTAGTTTGCCTTTTCGTCATCTTCATTTCCCCCATTTCGGTCGTTGCTGTTGTTGCTGTTGTTGTTGCTGTTGTTCCCATGGACATGTTGACCCCGCAGATTATCCAGCGCATCCGGAGGCAGTCCAAACGCCGTTGGGACGAGCTGCGAGACACGGGTGCATGCGGCGAGGAGGTGGTCGAGGGTTTGTGGGAGGGGGAGGGGGGTTAGTGGGCTTGGGGATGACATTGCAAGCTGGTAATACTGTAATCCAATTATTTTGCGGATAGTCGTCGGTAGTGTGTGCGCCCGTGAGAAGAGAAGCCCGATGATGGCGACAAAAGGTTACATTCGCGGCTCGCTCAAATTTGAATTGCGTCCTTGACAGGTCGTCAAGGAGGGATGCAAGGGATGAAGAATGGTGACAACGGTCGTTAATGAAGGACAGGCCAGAAGAAAAATGAGGGATCAACGGGTGGTTGTTGCTTCTCCGCGTGCACAGCCTCGAGAATAAGCCTGCATTGGACTTTGGTATTCTTGGTACATACTGTATTATTATGTATGTACATTCGGGGTAAAGTCTTGGCTTGACGCCGCCCCCTTTTGGCGGGCAATTTTCGAGTTGTGTTTGGCCCGAGTTGTGCTGAAGTTCTTGTGCACTTGGGGATAGTGCATAATCAATAATGACCTGTTTGATGGTTTGAAGGCGCAGAGCATACAGTGTGACAAGTGGTGATGGTAAAAATACCTACACGTGTAGCTATAATTACTTGCAAGGTGTAAGCATTCCCAAGATCAACCCGAACCTGACTCCCAGCAATAAAAAATGTAATTCAAGATTCGAAGCAAAAATATCCAAAACGCCGAAACGGCCGTCAGACATTCAACGTCTTTTGACGAGATTCCGAATCTGGGTCCTGACATAATTAGTGTACAATCATGTCTCACCACTGAGACACAAACAACCCCCTGGTGACCGTGGGTATCATTTGCATTAATTACTCTACTCCATAAACTCCCCCTACATAGTAAAACCACTCCCAAATCATAAATAACTCCGAACGTGAACTAGTAAACTCTCCCCGTTAGCTAAACAATCTGCTGCGACCCCCCCAACCACCTTCTCAACCTCCTCTTCCTCGTCCTCACCCGCAACAACGCATACGTGATATTCGCCTTGATATACTTGGCCCGCGTCGGTGCATCCTCAATCTCCGACGTGAACGCCGCCTGCACAGGGCCATACACCGGCGGCATGCGGTCTTCCCAGTGCGGGCGAGACTGGGAGAAGTCCCGGCTCCAGTAGTGGTTCGCCGCGTCCGACCGGCGGTATATAGACCTTTCCTCTCCCTCTTCCTCCTCGTCCGTTTCTACATCAGGCTCTATATCGTGGTCCACCACTCCAACTTCCCATCCTAGCCCTTTCTCTTCTCCTCTCTCTCCCTCCTCTCCTTCAGGATCGACATCGGCACCTTCACCTCTCCCCAGCGCCTGCCGCACCCATGCCCACTCCCTCGCCGTAACAGGCTGAGGCCGATTCCAACCCCTCCTCTCCCCGTGGTTCTGCCACATCGACTCCTGCCCGGTCAGCTCAAACCGGATGCGGCGCAGGCCGGGAAAAGCCTGCCGCAGCTGGGTGTCGATGGGCGCGCAGATGGCGCGTAGGGTGCGTGGGTAAGGGGTCAGTACCCGGATCCACATGTTGTTCCAGCGCAGGTCGAAGGAGAGCGAGATCAGGTTGGGGCAGGCCTGGGCGAGGGCCGGGAGGAAGGCTGCGCGGGATGAGCGGAGGGTGGTGGTGAGGTGTGGGGTGTGTCGCTGGAAGTCGAAGTCGAAGGCAAAGTCTGGGTCGAGATCGAGGTAGGCTTGTCTACTGTGGCTGTTGGATTGTCCCGGTCCGTCAATGGCTGCGGTCTCGGCTTCGCCCTCGGCCTCGGTGCCATCGTGGTCGGCATCCTCCTCTTCTTCTTCGGAGCCATCTTGGTCTCCGCGGGGCCGGGTCACCCTCCTCCCCACCCTTTCCATGAGCGCGCTCCCATTCAGGGGAAACGGTACGCCCTGTAGATACCGCACACACGCTGCATTGCGCGGGCCAATGACATCCAAAAACCCACGGAACAGCAGATTCGCCTGGGTGCTCAGCGGCGGTAAATGCTCGGGGAGCACGACAAAGCGAGTTTGTGAGTAAAACAACGAGGCGGCGTCGCGGTGGACTTGGGAATTGGTCAACAGCAGCGGCAGGAGACAGGATAGCGGGGTGGATTTTCTCGGTCTTTTCGTTTGATACCACGGGAGGTCGACGTCGTCTACTGATGCTGTTCCATCCCCGTGACCCCGGTTTGATGGCGATAACTTGGGCAATCGAGGCCGCAACGGCGGGTACTCGAGTCTCTGTCGCAGACGGTCGCGTGAGGTGACCGGGACGACTCGCCGTGTGAGGATCGTGTATGCGTAGATCTGATTCCGGATCTCACCGGGGAGCGTGAGGAGGTGGGGCCGTGGTGGTTCTGGCGACTCTGAGTCTGAGTCTGACGGTTGTGCCGCAGGCTTGCGACGGCGGAAAGAGAGAGACGGCATTATGAGAGGAAAACGAATGGCGAGAACAAGAAAATGGGATTATGAGAGCGGCAACGCTGACAATTCCGGTAGATCCGCCGGCTTTCCAAATTCCATCTACTAGCAGCAATACATGCGGGTGGATATCGGTGAAATCTTCCGGCTCACTGTTAAATGCCCAAATAAAAGAAGAGAAGCTCTCGCAGGCGGCAGCTCTCCAGGCTGAAGGTGCGAGATCAGGTCCAGGCAAACGGCCAAAGCTCAGCCCCTGATTGGCTCCCCAGGTTATGCGCAGCACGGTTGACGGCTCGAGCGCCCTGCATGCCTCTTGCGGGATCGCGCCTGCCGTTTCGCCCATCCCGCAATCTGATGACGCCAAGGTCTGGCGTTGTGACAAAAATACCCGGGCCACGGTGGAGCTGTCCGGAGGAAACCCCGTCTCAAGGGCCAATGTACAAATTTGGTCAATACACAACAAGCATGCTAATCCGGGAAAGTCAAGATTCCACACGACACCTGAGGCCCAGGCACAGCACTTTTCATGACTCAAAATAACCCGTGACCAACCCGAGCAATATTGTCAAGCTGACCATCCCGACGCAGCCGATGGGCATTCCCTCCTCATGCCAGGCGAGTGCCGAGCCTATCAAAACCGGCCGTTTGCTGACCCGACGCCAAGTGCAGCCTAGCAGGGCTCCTTTTGCGGGTGCGAATGCGACGGTGCAAATAAGAATTCGCGAAGAATCCCGATCGAGGCCGGGGTTAAGAAAATGTATATAGACTGATGAATCTCACGATGTTGAATTGAATCAACCCAGTATATTCAGCAACGTTCGGTGAATACCTTGTTCATAGTAGATACATCACCGTTTATTTTCTCAGCATATCTGAATTCCGACACCTCAAAATGGCCTCCCAACCCAAAATCACCCTCTACTGGTGCGTATCTCCACATTCCCCGGCCACTTACACTCTTACAATCTTATACCGTCCCAACACTAACAACACCCAGGCTCAACGAATCCCGCGCCCAGCGCATCGCCTGGCTCCTCGAAGAGCTCCACCTCTCCTACGACGTGCAAATCTTCCACCGCGACGCCAACATGCAAGCGCCCCCAGAACTCCAAAAGATCCACCCCCTCGGCAAATCCCCCGTCCTCGGCATCACCCCTTCGTCTTCCGCCTCATCCTCCGCAGGGAGCGGTTCTCAACCCAAAGAGAAGAAGGAGCTCATCCTCGCCGAAAGCGCCGTCATCGCGCAGTATTTGACCGAACATTTTGGTAAACAAACCTCCCTTCTACCAAGGCAGTACCGCGAGGGTGAGGAAGGCCAAGTAGGCGGGGAGACGGAGGAGTGGCTGCGGTATCAGTATTATCTGCATTATGCTGAGGGGAGTTTGATGCCGCCGATTCTGGTTGGGATTATCCTGGATAGTACGTTGTTTGTTTATTTATTTATCATCCCCCCCTGCCCTACTTCGCTGAATGATGAAGTGAGATGGACTAACACCCCACCCAGTCCTCAAAGGCCCCAAAATCCCCTTCTTCATCCGGCCCATAACAAGCTCCATAGTCTCCAAACTCTACGCCGCCTTCCTCCTCCCCGAAATCCTCCGACACCTCGCCTTTCTCGAATCCCAGCTTGAGACGGCACCGCAAGGTGGAGCGTATTTGTGCGGTGCCGAACTAACGACGGCGGATATCCTTATGGGGTTCCCGATCCGCGAGGCGAAGAATGCTTTTGCGGGGTTGGAAGTGGGTGATGGGAAGGGGACGGTGGGGGAACGGTTTCCGAGGCTGTGGAAGTATTTGGATTTGTTGGAGGGGGAGGAGGGGTATAAGAAGGCGGGGGTGAAGATTGCGGAGTTGGAGAAGAGGGCCAAGGGGGAGAGTAAGTAGGGTGTGTGTAATCACATGTTATGGGAACAGGTCTGGGGGATAATGTATAACTAGAAGGTTAAAGGGGGGATGTACACTCATAATTCTCAAAATACCACTCCTTATTGTTGTACAGTCTTTGATAATAATACCGCCCATAATCAACCGCTCGCCGCTCACCTCTTGACCGGCGTCAACCGCACCAGCAGCGGCCGCTTCTCCCAGATGGTGAACCCCTGCATCTTCTGCTTCCAGTCCTTGCTGCTCTCCGACAGTTCCATGTCGAACTCGAACACCATCCGGGCCAGGATCAACCGCATCTCGGCGTAGGCGAGACTATCATATCCAGTTAGCGTTCACTTCTGTCAAAATGGGAGAAGACCAAGGGATAACAACTCACTTCCTGCCCACACAGTTCCGCGGCCCAACACTAAAAGTCTGCATCACCTCCAACCGATCCCCATCCACATCCTTCTCCCCCATATCCACCGTCTCCCCGGACACATCATTAATAAACTTATTCAACCACCGCTCCGGCCGATACTCCATCGCATCATGCCAATGCTGCGAGCTGTGATTCATCGCATACTGTTGAATCTCCAACACCGTTCCCTGCGGTACCCAATCGCCCACAATCGACTCCCCACCTTCGTGTGCTTCCCGCGGCAGGTTACTCAGCGTGGGCGGGTGGCGGCGCAGGGCCTCGTTGAGACAGGCGAGGAGATAGGGCAGGCGGGAGACGGCGGCGATGGTGATGTCGCTGGAGTGGGTGAAGGCGGTGCGGACTTCGTGGGTCAGGCGGGCGAGGACGGCCGGGTTCGCGAGGATGTGGTAAGTTACGCCGGAGAGGAGGGAGGCAGTGGTTTCGGAGCCGGCGGCTGCGAGGAGGGTGGCGTTGGATTGGAGGTGGTTTTCGGTGAGGTTCTGGTATTGGTTTCTGGTGAGCATCTTCATTTTATAACGAAAACAAAAGAAGATATGAAGACAAAAAGAAGAAAGGGAAGAAGAAGAGAAGAAAGCAAAAGAAAAAGAAAATAAAATACAAGAAAAAAGAGATAGAATAAAACAATAAAAGAAGAAGATAGAAGACGAAAAAAAAGAGAAGAAGAAAGAGAAGAGAAAAAAAAAAAGGCAGTAACACAAGGGCAAAGTCAACTCACCCACTCCTCCCGCTTGCTGACCAGCCCCTCAAACAAATCCGACCGCTCCTCCTTAACCGCCAACCGATGCCGCAACTTGTCCAACATATTCTTCTGCATTCCCGAAAACGAGTCCGCAGCCAGCCAGCGAACCACAATATTCAACGCTCTCTTAAACCCCGGCACCTTGTGCATCCCCACATACTTCATAGCCGTGAACCAAGCCGACTGCTTCGCAATGCCCGTAACCAAGTCCACAAACTGATGACTCCGTCCCCTATCCAAACACCCAAAGCTCTCAGCAAACACCAAATCCCCCACCACGTCAAACGTCGTCCAGTTATACCACGTCGCCATGTCCACCTCGTTCCCGCGCTCACTCTGCCCACGAAGCCGTTCCACCAACAGATCCACATACCCCTTAATCGAATCCTCCTGCTCCCTCATCGCCCGCTCACTAAACCCAGCCGCGACCGCCCGACGCAACCGTCCATGCTCTTCCCGATCGGCCGTCAAGATATTCGGCACGTCCCCCTCACGCTCGATGATCTGCGCGGCGTAAAACAATCTCGCCTTCGGGTTCTCCTCCCGCCCTTGCAGGCCTTCACCGGCGCGGTGGCCGAATATGTCCCGCCATGCGCGCGGGTCGGTGTAGCTGACGTGGTCCGGGCCGATGCGGACGACGGGGCCGTAGTGCTCGTGGAGCTGGTGCACGGTTGTGTGGCCGGAGCCGGAGATGATGCGGAGGGCGTGGGGGAACGGGAGAGCGCGGGAGAGGAAGGGGCCTGGGAGGTGGCGGAGGGGGTGGAGGTAGAGGTTGTAGATGGCCGTGAGGAGGATGGGGAGGAGGATCTGGGGGGTTGTTAATCAGTATGAAATGTTCAAGGTGGAGGGGGGTTAGTAGTAGGGCCTACGAGGATTGGGAGAGCGTAGGCGAGCACGCGGAGGAGCGCGGACGCATCCTGCTCGAGCAGGGAGTCGAGAAGCATAGTTAGTTAAGTATGTACTAGACAGTGTAACTCGTTGTTGTAAGTGAGTGTGGTCAGTGGTGACAAGACCCGGAAGAACGAGACAACCATGAGGTCAGCTTCCTTTATATCAAACCGGCAGACGGAGTCTTATACGCAATACGCCCTCTTACTTGTGGGTCAACCTCCAGTACGTCCCAAGCCTCAACCGCTTCGTGAGCCCCCTGACACATCCCAGCAAGTTGCAACCGGGTCGACTCGGTAAATACACACCCCCGCAGAGCCGACCTGCCCTGCCGCTGCGTTGTACACTCCAAGCTCACCGTGCCAGGGCCGGGAACTTGAGTGAGTCCGAACCTCCGGAACGGTACCAGGTTCTAGCTTGACCCACATGACGTCGCATCTTGAACGTCCCCCCTCCGAAAATCCCTATGGGGGTCTACTAAGGCCTGCCGGTGGGTCGCGGAGACATTTGCCTGGATTCTGGCATGCCACCATGCTCACATCGTCCCGTGGGGGGGGAAAGCGGGGCGGTCAAGGCGGTTAAGGTGTGATGGGACCATAGGAGGATGTTCGGGGGTGGGTGGCCGGGATGGGCCCGCAACGTAACCGGGGAAGGATTTGCCAGTCGCTTTCGACCGCCGTCAAGAAACCTGTGACTCGTTGGAGAGCGAGAGCGAAACCGGTAAGACCGGTTTAGCGGCTGCTCAGATGGCTAGTGTAATGGCCTGAACCCTGGTGGGTTGGTAAGCCTGAGTAGCAAACTGCGATGTTGGAAAAGTTCCAGGAACGGTAAGATCTTGCTTCTCTCGTTCCTTCGTGAAGAGGGGAAGTGGAAATGTCAGTTTTGCCCGCTGGAGCTTGGGCCTGAGACGGAACGTCCGTTCCCGCTGCGGACGCTAACACATCCCTGCTCTTTCCATGTTCCGCTGTGCGGTGACCCACTGACCAAACTCGAGCTGACCCACTGAGCTAAAGTCCGACGCTTTGTAAATTACAGAACCTCACCTCGAACTCACCAGGAAGATAACGAACTACGAGCACGAAATCGCCTCGAAAAGCCATTCATCCACGTGCCAAATAAGCAACCCTTTGGAACCCTTAAAAATTGTAGTCACTCCAGGCCCGTCAAAATGTCTCCGTGCTGCTCACGAATATGTCTCCGCTGGATGAGAGTCCCACAGCTCAGCCCTACCAGTCGATGCGCAACACGCAAAACGGTCTAACATCCGCTTGCCAGGCGCGCGTGGCTGAGCGACTCTCACCGCAGACGGTTACCTAATGAACACTTGATACTCAAGTCGAGCTGAAATGCTTCACGCTTTAGTGTGTCCGGAAACTTTTAGATGAACTCGCCTGTTGTAAACCCCACGAGCTGCGCCAAATTCGACGCGTAGCAACTGCCGGCTCGGTCTTGTTGATCGTCTTGGCCGTATCATATCATCAGTGGCTCCGGACGGGCATCCGACGTGGCATACATATTTCATCGGTTTCGCACCGGGTTTCTCAACGCTCGCTTTTCCTGTTTTGGCTCGTTCCCAAATCACTGGGGGCCTTATCAACAACCAAAACCACGCCTGACTTTTCCGTGCTCAAAGTACAAGTCTCAGATGGAAATCGTGCTAGGTTTCTGAGTCAATTGGAAACCCCGTCGGAGACATGATTATCAATTCTAGAAGTTCCACTCGATATTAACAACCAAATTGGGTTACACATTGCCTTTGATGCCATGCGATGCACTGCAGGGATAATTACACAAACCCACCCAACTCGCCAACATCCAACGGCGGCCCGCGGATGCAGAACAAACTGATCCGAGCTCATTTACGGTATGCCGACGACTGCCGTTTAACAACGTCGATGCAACGATGGCCCCGGACCACGGGCATCTACAACACCCCGAGAAAGACACTCAAGTATGGACGCGAAAAACGAAACAGTGGCTAAGTAACAATATGCGCGTCCAGTGATATTATGTCCACTCGGTGATTTGCGAAGCGAGGAAGAGAGTCCGAGCTAGGCAATCAATGTGAAGATGCCAAGGTTGCAAGACGAAACGGGGGAGGGTTTCGTCATCAACGGAAATGGTAAAATAACACCGATTGTCCGATGCATGTAACCAAATTGGGGCAGGGACATACTTTTCATCGGGCAAGGTGAGTTATTCAATATTAAGTTATTCCGGGATCTAACCATCGGGCCAAAGGGGATAAGAATAACAGCACATCGTTGCCCAAGTCACACCCCCATCTGGCGGTTCAAACTCCGACAACCTAGATTCACTTCCTCAATACATCACTAAGTGTCGTCTCACAGACAATTCTCCCGCCGTCGACATAAGCCAACTAACCCCAGCTTGAAACCGGTGCTCAGAGAACAAAAAGCTTCTAATCACAATTCACAATTCCCCACAGCCAAGAAGCCAGAGAACCCTTCATCTCTCAAAAGATGATTGCAGAAAGATACGCCGGCATGAATCCCTCATCGCCGTTCACCTCCGCAGTCCTCCGCAGTCCAGTAATGGGGTTTAACTCCCCCCGCCCACACCGCTGATGGCCGACTAGTCCGTCACACCCCGTGTTTGCCTATTACCACAAGAAATGAGAGAGGTATGAGTACGAATACCGTTCTACTCCACCTCCTCGTACTCTGTAACATATCAGGGCTAGTTAGGCCACCATCTACCAACACATGCTTCCTAGAATGAATCCGCAACTCATCTGACCTTGAACGTGGTAGTTTCACGTTTTCCGAAGCCGGTTACCGTTCCAGGTTTTTGGTGAAGTCAGTGAAATCAAGAGGTAACCATGCTTTTTGTTCGCCGACAATATTTATGGGCGTATATACATAGTTGCCGTCCCTGCTGAAACTGCGATCAAAGTCCTGGCCCAGCAAGTGGCTCGCAAGAGTCGTGGACCGGCACCCGTGACCTGAAGTGTGCCAGTAGGTGCTCCCAAATTACTCGGTACTTCCGCTGTGATATCACTCGCCAGTGTTAGGTTGGTCATATGAGTTTTTAGTTCCCGTTCAGACTTGCGGTCCAAGTCAGGGGGGAGACAGTAAAGGGGCCCCTGGGAAGGAGGGAAGATATAGACGAAACTAATTAACGGATTTCCTGTTTCCACCCTCGCTCACTAACGAGCGAAAAACTGGATTTCTGTTTGCATGCTTGGGTGATTACGGAAGCCTGAAATCTATCTCAGCTTTCACTCCTTGTAAGGCCAACTTCTCAACCGTTTTCTCAACGTCCCCCAACCGACGCCATGAGCTGCAGTGTTACTCGTTCATTTATATCGCCCCTCACACCCCTTGCAGTTCAACATTCACCAATACTCCGTTGTTCGTTTTAGAGCCAACAGCAATCATCAATATGGCTGCACTCATCTGAGTCCAGTACCATTCCCAAGATATGGCCGGCGAGCCTGATGAACGCCGAGCGACAATGGAAAATATAATCCGCCAACACAAATGGCACGCTCGTTGACGTACCTTGGGAGTATCTCCAACTATCCGGACAGCACAACGACGACAGGAATCGGGCGTGTATCTTGGTGCATTACACGACTACAACAAAAACAGGATCGAAATCTTCCCCACCGCTCCCTTCTCCACCCTGTTTTCTCACCGCCGCGCTGCCCGGAAGCACGTATCCCCGCTGGTTCGACACCAACCTGATACCGTTCCGCGTCAGGCGCGACGAGTAGTGGGTATGCCCGAACACCCAGACCTTAATACCGTCCCATCCCTTCTGGTCCACCAGGTCGGTCGCGAAGGCCGGACTCCACGGGTTGCTAACCTGGTCCGGCCGGGCCGTCCCCCCAACGCAGGGGGCGTGATGGGTCGCGATGAGAAGCCGCCGTTTCTGCGGCGTGCTGGCCGTTAGTACTTGCCGGGTTTGCTCGCGGAGCCAGGCGAGTTCTTGCTGGTGGATGGTGTTGTGCTGTTGGGGCGTCCATTGGTCGATCTTTTTAAAGTCACTGACTCTGGTCTCGACAATGCCGTAGGATGCTTCTGGGATGGCTGACCACAGGGTGCAGCCGAGGATGGTCAGGTCGGAGTCCGGGTCGTCCCACCTGTCGCGGTGCAGCAGCACTAACCTGCCGAGCAGGGACGGTTCCTGCGCCAGTCGTCGCGCCTCCTGGATACCGGATTGGTAATCTAGACCGTAAAACTCGTGGTTGCCCAGGACTAGGAACACCTTTTTATAACGTGTGACCTGTAATTCGAGAAAGCTGTGGTAGCCCTGGTAGTCAATCAGGCGGCCGATGTCGCCCGCTAGTATCAAGAATGGCGCGGTGGTGGGAAACGTAAATAACGTATATTGTTGCCCGACCTCGAGGTGCAAGTCCGACATAATCTGGACTTGGGGTCGCGGATCTAAACGCTGACGCACTTTGTTCAATATCGTTTGCATGTTTGGCGAGGTGCGGAAGAGCGAGATTTGCGCAATGCTTGGTGTGGATCGTGGAAAATTAGGAGCGAGGTGGTTAGGCAATTAAAAGGATCTTGCATGCCCATTCTTACCTGTTCGTTGGTGTCAACGACAGCCGCCAACTGCCATTTGTGAGGCAACTAAAGGATGGTGATGGCTGACCTTTTGTGGCCAGCGGTAAACCATGTGATCGAGCCGCCGCCCTTGTGAACTTGGCGGTACCGCTGGGGCCAAGGCGCGCGCCCCTCGAAAGCCCCACCATCTCATTTCACTCAACACTCGTAGTTTCCTCCTTCCATCACCCAATCCCACTCCCGTCAAATATCCCGCCCACACGCACATTCAGACAAACATGGAGTGGGTAACGGTAAAGGCCGCTTGTGTTATATTGAAGCACCACAGGTAAAGGGCAAGGTTGTTACATCTTAACATAGAGGGAGGTGACTAAATTCTAGAGATCAAATATAGGCATTGTTACTTATACTATATTGGCTTTATAGGGGAGTAATTAGCTCAATCTTGATATCTGAGCTTATACTAATACTTCTAGTGTCTAATTTACAAAAGAAAAGAAAAAGAAGGAAGCGCTGACCATGGCGAGAATCGGGCTACAACCGAACTGAGGACAAGGCCTGCTGTAACAGGAATGAGAGGGCATATGTAATTAGATGGCCTAACAGTCACTGGCGGTAGCCTCTCAGGAGGGCACGCCTGTGTCGGGGTCGAATCTGGTAAGCTCTCAACGAAGACGACGGCTCGACTCGCTCAGCATAGGAGGCTCACGGTTAGCGGCTGCAATTTTCTTTCCAAGAGCTCGGCTGCTGCTTGCCCGACGTAAAATCCTCCGCCATAGATATTGGTTGGCTCAACAGCTCATATCTGGGGTGTAATGGGTTTCGTAGCTGGGTACGTACCCATCTAACCGAGAGATGGTTGCTCGGTGAGCTTTTGCTATTTCCCCTTTTCCTTGTTCCCTTTGTTGGTTGGTATATAATGGGCGTCGAATCCTTCGTTTTTGTTTTCTCATTCCAACGTGTCACGACCTGCCGTAAAAGGAAGAACATCCCAGCCTCACCTCACAGCTCGAATAAAAATAACTTGTACCTACCTACATAGTACTTCTGAGCTCCAGCTAATGTTACAAAGCGACGTTAACTAAAAAATGTGAGCGCAACCTTCTGCAGGGGGGGCGGACACATGCGCCGCTCTCTATTCTAATTGGCCGCCCCTATAGTTTGTGTTGATTTCCCGATCTGCCCCTGAAACTGAGACCCCAGCGGACGATGACTGTCAGCATGCCAATGAACCGGTCCGACTTTGTGTGATGGTCGGGTGATTATGCCATGTCGTGGGATGGTACACACACTTCCACAACGATCGAAACAATGTCTGCACGACGGTGTGTGTATTTTTGCAAGATATTTGAGCCCACAATCTCACAGATACCGTGATGACTTAGGGACATGCTGTAATGAAACAGGGAAATCTCGCGATGGCGAGTCAACATCATCATGATTTTCAGGGCACAGCAAATTTAGCTAGGTAATGAATTGAAGATCAAAGTGGTTTCGATTATAACAGAAAGAATTTATGATTGGGTATTATGATTCCCACCAACAGATAAAAAAAACCTGACTATGCAATGGTCTATCCCCTCGACAACCCCGATGAACAACCCCTTAACAAACCGCTTCAAAGCACAACCAAATCTCAACCGCCCGCTCACTCCAACACTCTCTACCAATGGGGAGTGTTGAGCGCCAGACCCATCAGACACCCACCAATCAAGCCAGCAATCGGCACGGTCATGACCCAGGAAAAGAACAGGAGCCCGACACGCTTCCAGTTGACAGCCTTGAAGGTACCGTTGCACAGACCGACACCGACAGTGGCGCCGGTAATACACATGGAGGTCGAGACGGGGAGCTTGTATTGGGAGAAGATGAGAATGGTGATGGCAGCGCCCAGTTCCATGGACGAGCCACGGCTTGGGGAGTGGTAGGTGAGCTTGTTACCCATGACTATAAGAGTGTGTTAGCTGCGATTCAATTCCGATACAGGCAATGGATGGGAAAAAACATACCTCTCATGATGTTGTAACCGTAGGTGATGAAACCGATGCAGATCATAGCCGCGGTGACACCCAACTGCCACATCGGCACGTCCTCCTTGGAGGCACTGGGGGTGCCCTTGGACCAGGCAGCGTACATACCAGCCCAGACACCGACAGCATTACCGACATCGTTGGCGCCGTGCGCGAACGAGGCGGTACACGCAGTGATAACTTGGACGTACGAGTACAGATGCTCAACCTCGTTGGGGTACTTGGGGGCGTGGCTGTAGACACGGGCCATGCGGCGGCCTTCGGGCGAGTTGTTGATGCCGACCTGCGCGGTGTGGATGTCGTAGTGCATGCCGTAGAAAATGGCGACGATGATCTGGGCGGGGATACGCTTGACGGTGGCAATCAGGTTGTGAGTCTCGTGAATCGAGCCAGCCGAAAGACGGTTGTTGTGCAGGGTGCGCATGGCCCAGCCGAGAGGACCGCGCTTGGTGCGAAGGTTGGCGTGGTGGCGATCCTCGGCGTCGCGGAGGAGCTGCTGGTACTGCTCATAGGTGTACTCGATGGAAGGGACCGCGTTCTTCTCGCTGTCGGAGGCAGCCGAGCTGGCGGGGAGAGCGGCAACCTCGTCGGAAGTGACCTCCTTGGTCGCGGGCGCCTGCTTAGTCTTCTCAGACACATCGGTCTCGGAGCCGCTCGAGTGCTGGACGACAGCGTAGTCGGGGACCTTGGCGTGCAGGTGCTCGGCATCGGTGGGCGTGGGGCGCTTGAAAAGAAGGGGACCCTGGATGATGTCCCAGATCTTGAGATCCTGGTCCTTCTTGACGACTCTGGCGTGGACAAAGGGAACGAAAAAGAGGGCCGAGAGGACGAAGAGACCGAATCCCACGCCGAGCGTGACAGAGACGATGTACCATGCCGGCTTCTTGTCCAGGCCGAGGCTGGGCGAGCCCTTGTAGACGATCGAGAGCGTGCAGACGGTACCGGCGATGAGGAAGAAGAACGGCGAGGTGTAAACGGCCCATGGCACCGGGTTCTTGCGCATGTGCACGGTAACCTTGATGAGCATGAAGGTGATGGCGGCGAAGCAGCCCGAGATGAACGGGGCCATGGCCAGACCGGCGAAAATGGCACCGAGACCCTGGCCGCCAGCCCAACCCCATTGCACCTTGCTCGCACCGACAGCGGCAACACCAACACCGGCGATGGACGAAACCAGGGAGTAGGTGGACGAGACGTGAGCCGAATGGCGTGTGCACCACATCACCCAGATACCGGCACCAGCGGACGAGCAGGCGAAAGCGAGAAGCTGGACGCCGGCGTTGTCACCGAAAGCGTCGCTGGGAATGATACCGTTCTTGATGGTCGAGGCAGTCCGGGCACCGACAGCGAGAGCACCTGTCAGTTCGAAAATCGTGCACAGAACCATGGCCTGACGGTAGGTCACGGAACGCGACGAAACACTCGTCGCCCACGCGTTGGCAACATCGTCTGTAAGAAGAATGAGGTCAGCAACCCACGGCAGGGAACAAAACTCGAACTCCAACCAAACCAAACCAAAGATCGCGAAGGGGATTTCACGTACTGGCGCCATTGTTGTAGGCCTCGAGGAGGGCGAAGATGGTGCCAATGGCAAAGACGTAAGTGTAAGCGTCGAGCGTCATGGTGATTGTCGGTAATGCGGGCAAGGCCTCGCTGTGGACTCGACGACTCGGAAAGGGGTGATGCGAGATAGACCAGAGAAAGAAGGGTAGAAGGTTTGGGGCCGGGGAGTGCGACGATATATCTATTTGAAAGAAAAACGGCAGGCTCACATCCGAGTGTGTGTGTGTGTGCCTCGGAGCTGCGTTGCCCCATCCATCCATCCATCGATCCCTCCTTCCACTGCCACCACCACTATGACAATCTCTCGGCCTGCTGGCCCGCTGCGGATTTCCTCACAAGCCCTCGTGGAAGCCCGCTGTCTCGGCCGCCAAGGCAGTCTGGCCCCGGCGTGGCCCCTGCATGGCGTGCAGAAAAAGTCCATTTCGGTGTCGAAATCAGTCAAACCCGTGCTTCGGGGAACGGCCGAATGCGTGTCGCAGGCATTCTCGCGTCACTCGCAGGCAGTGGGCTGTGGGCAGTTGGAAACATGCCCGTGGGCTGCCCGCGCGCATGAGCTGGATGTGGAGAGAACCGATTATGTTGGTCTTCGCGAAGGACATGGTGGAAGGACGTGAAACGTGCTGCAAACGGACGCTCTGATTCGTCGCCTATTATATGGCCCGAGCGTCTGTCCCCCTTGGCTGACCGGCCCGCTACCAGCCAAGCGATGCCAAGCGCCTGTGAGACCAATCACGACATCGTAATCGTGCCTTCCCCGAACGCCTCTCTCTTGGCGTAGCCGCGCCATTGAACTTCGATTCCCCCGGAGGAAGGCGCCAAGCACCAAAATTCAACCCAAGTCCCGTTTTCTTGGGTAGTTTTGCCAAAGTGCTTGGATTTGCTTGTTTCTGGTGCTGTCCTTGGCCCACGTGGGTTGGCAAAGCGCTGTGGTGGTGTCGACTTCTGATCCATCATCCCATCCACAACTCCAACTGCGGCCGTACCGCGGTGCGGCTGGCTGCGGGCATTTGGCCTCTCGGGCTGCTCGGTTTCCACCGAAGGAAAATTCAGCTCTCGAGGCGAGAGTTACCTCGGTGCCGTCCATATTCATTATTGGTCAGGTGTCAATATTTTAGTCCCAATTTCTCTTCCAACACTGCAACGCTGTCGCTGTTGTTACATAGTATTGATGCCAGGACTACACGTGTAGTGTAGGTGTCAGGTCCATGCGGGATGCCGCATGCACAGAGAAGACAACAACCCCTCTCCCCCACCCCACGCGACACTCTCTCGCGTCTCCCGCTATGCTCCTCCCATATGGCTAGTGTTTCCACTAGTGCTAAGGATAGAAAAAGAATGACACATGGTGACCCCGGCAGACATAACGCCCCCCATGCCGAGGCGGACCTAACCCAAGCCAAGTTTGCTCGCCACGGCAGTCCCAAGCCTCAGGGACCAAAATGCCTGGGCCTCAGCTGCGGAACCTTATGCAGTCCAACGTTTGGCCACAGTTGGGCGGCTCACTCGGTGGCCCCGGCAGGATTTTCTCGCCTCTTGACCCTGTGCCGGGTCTCCGGTCTGCTCAGTTCGGGTCGAGAGCACGTGGTCACATACTATGTTCGATGTCGGTCACTGCAGCCAAGGCAGAGGCAAGCTCTCGGCTCGGTCGACGTTTTGCACCGCCAAGGCATTAACTGCGGCAATTATACCTACGATCGATGGGAGAAAACGGAAAATCGGCTGTTGCTCGTGTGCTACATTCCTGTTCTTTGCGGTGGTAGCGTTGAGCCTTGCCTATTTTCTCGACGCCCGCAGCTGTCAACCTATCGATGAGAACTTGAAGATTTGCATCGCGTCTCTAGCCAAGGTGCTAGGTAACTTGTAGACTGATCTAATGGTGTATGCTTTCCAACAGCCGCCCCCGCTCCTCGGTGACCAAGTGTTGTTACGAACAAAATTTCGGACAGAGTCCGACGATCCCATGAATTCGCAACCATTGTCGGAAATGTCCGAGGAATTACCATGTTTTCATGCTCAGAACAAAACTAGTCATACTCGTGAGAAGTATGAAGCCCCCAAATTTGTCAGTTCTGACATTTTGCTGATTTCTGCCACTTCCCTCGCCTTTTCTGATTCGTTAATTAATCTATGCCTACACTTTGGTCGGACTGGACCAAATTAGCTTTACTTCTTTCATGATTATAAGAATGATTCAACGTGCGATATAAGCGTAAAGTCTCTGTGTACCTCCATACTGCGGTTGTAGGTCTGCTGGCGTTGGCCGAATGGAACGTTAAGCCTCATTGTTCGCCGACTTTGATTTAAACTCGGACAACTTAAGTATCGTAAAGCAGGGTCCCGAGAGACGACGAGCTACGCAAAAGGTCTCAACCATTGCCCTTCGTGTTGTCTCAGTTGAATCCATCAGCAGCTATTGATGAAGGGATTCCACATCCAAGCTCGTGACACACCCAGCAGCAATAACATTGTGGTGCGAACTATTAATTTTCCGGATTCATTTCTAATATTTTCCTGAGCTTTTCATGGTTTAGAGTTGTAGATTTGAGGGGAGTAGCGCAGCCATGTTTCATGACCAAGAATTACACCTAAACACTATTACCAGACAAGCTAGACCTAGAACCAGAAAATAAAAGACAAAAGACAACGGTGTTGTGATGGGAGACACTGATTGGTTTTGGAAAACAACTTTCATGATCGTTACCGGGTAACTTACGTATCTGATACGAGGTACAGTATATGCTGAGTCAGCCAAGTTTTGGCCCACGCCCCGCAACCAGCGAGGGACCATCACGAACCAATTTTTGATGGAGCGCAGTCGCAGCTGTCGCCGCCAAATCCACCACACCACCCGATATGCCACCACGATTGCCGCTCGCCCAAGCGGCTCGATGCTGCGCGGCATCAATTGAGGTGTCCGCAGGGTCACGGCCCGTCGGGCTGGTCTCGCTCTTCGCTGCATTGTCGGTGCAGAGCCAACGCCCGATCACCCCTCAGACGCAACAAACCCGCAACGCCTCGATTCTCGCGAGTCTGTCCGACAACAGGGGCGCCTACAACAAGCGCATTCGAAAGGGCCGTGGTCCGTCGTCTGGATACGGCAAGACATCCGGTCGCGGTCAGAAGGGTACCAAGGCGCGCTCGAAAGTGAACCCGTGGTTCCAAGGTGGTCAAACACCGCTTATCGTCAAGCATGGCATGAAGGGTTTTGTCAACCAGTAGGGCACCCTCTGCATTGTGGTTTTGTCCCCTTTGGGGGACTATTGTGCTTGAAATTGTTGCTGACAAGAACCAGCCGTGCCCCGGAGATGATGGAACTCAACATCGACCGCCTCCAGGCCTGGATCGACACGGGCCGTATCGACATCACGAAGCCTATTACCCCGCGCGAAATCATCCGTTCCGGAGTCATCGGCCGTGACATCAAGGATGGTATCAAGCTCCTCGCCCGTGGCGGCGCGACTCTCAAAAACCCCATTGATATCATGGTCTCGCGGGCTTCGGCATCGGCTATCCAGGCCGTTGAGGCGGCCGGCGGCAAGATTGTAACGCGGTTCTACACGAAGGAGTCGATAAGGCGGCTTGTGAACGGCACGAGTCTCAACTCGGGAACTCCCTTGCCCGTGGGCGCCGAACATGTGGAAGAGGAGGTGGCCAGACTCCAACTGCAGGGGAAACACTACTATCGCCTGCCCGACCCGACTGGCCGTGAGGATATTGAGTACTACCGTGATCCAGCACACCGTGGGTACCTGAGCCATAAGCTCAAGCCGGGCGAGTCGCCAAGTCTGTACTTTAAGGTACCTGGGACTGCGCCTACCCCGGTGAGGCGGAAGGTGCAGAAGAGCGGGGAGGAGGTGGTGACGTTGTTTTAGACGGGGCATCGGCCGGAATTGAGCGGTGACCGTGTACAATACGCTGGATTTGAAGTGTACATTCGAATGTATGACATGATTTGTAGGCTGCTCGAGTTGTTTGGGACTGTCAATTCGATATGTGGCTAGTGCAACGTGCAGATGCTGTGGCTGAGCGACTGTTGCGCCCCATTTCCCCAACTGAGCTACCCCTGTTCGGCTTGCAGCTCTCTCTCCCACAGCGCCTTCTCCAACCCCTCGGATTGTTTCGCCTCCTGTGCTGACGACAGCCCCACGACGCCGGTTCCCTGGACGTTTTCGAGTTGCGCTCTTACCCAATGAGTTGATAAAGCTCTGGAATCATTGCCTTGGGTTGACTAGTTTTCTGTTGCGATTCCCTCTTGTATTTTGGTTTGGTTTCCACGAGCACATCGACTCGGAGCGCAGTTGATTTCTAGGAACGGCCGCCTGTCAATCCCCCGCTGCATCGCGCGAGTCGGGGACTTGCGCGGCGATCATCTTGCTCAACAAGCGCCTCTCACCTTTGCTGCACCATCAATCAACAACGCTCCCTTCTCCTAGTTCTCCTAATTGTTCTTGAAGATGTCGCTCTTCGGCAGCTCACCGTCGGACGAGTCGCCCGACCTGCACTCGTCCAGCAATCAATTCGGCAACAGCCGATCGTCGCTTTTCGAAGACGAACCGCCCATGACCCGGTCGACCACCACCGCGCTTTTCGCCGACGATGATAACAATGGCTCCGACTCCCCCTGGGACATGCCCCCGCCGCGCAAGCAACAGACCCGCGCCGATGTGCTCCGCAGTTTGCTGCCCGCGTCCGAGGTGCCGCCTAGCTACATCGACGCTTTTGACGCCGTCGCGGCCGAGGAGGATGGGCGCGCCGGCGCAGGGCGCATCTCGAATGGGGGTGTAGCGAGGACGCTGGCGGCTGCGAAGCTCGGCGCGGACGACCAGGCGCGCATCATGGGGATTGTTGCGCCAGGTGCCGAAAGCGACGAACAGGAGGAGCTGTCGCTGGACAGGAACCAATTCAATGTGCTGCTGGCGCTGATTGGCCTTGCGCAGGAGGGCGAGGGGGTTAGTCTGGATGGGGTAGACGAGCGGCGCCGGGGTGAGTAAACATGCGTCCAACCCTCTTCTTTCTCTCTCTTTTTTTTCTCATGCCCCGCTTGTGCAACGCACTCTGCGTTTCGTTCATTGCCCCGAATACCCGGGGTGTTGGGTGATGCACCGGCGATACATCACTGCATGATCAACCGAAGCTTCTGTGATATCTGAGCCCAACCACCGACTTTCCGAATCGTCTTACCCGGCCTCAGCGCACATTTGCGCATGCCTGGATAGGGTCGGCCTCAATCTGTAATCGACAACAGACTGACGTATTGTCCAAACTCCAGATCTGCCGCAGCCTGAGCTCCATGGGATCGTCAACAAACCCACACCACCCCTTCCGCATATCGATGAATTGGGTGCCAAACCCCCTCAACGACCTGCTACACCCCCGCGAGTTCCCGAGCCAGAATCTCCAGCCCGCCAGCGCAGCGCCCGAAAGCAGCCCTCGATGGAATACCAGGACGACCCGTGGAATACACCCGATCTGCACAGGAACCATAACCATGGGCCTGAGCCGCCGCGCTCGAATGTCCCGGAGCGACCGGCATCGACCAGCGTTGTGAATGGGACCTCCTTTGGGAGTAGTACCCAGGGGACTTTACCCCGTCGAACCACTTCCACCTTCACCACGAGCGTCCCACCATCTGCGCCTGGGTCGGTCACGGAGCCCCCAAACAACTGGGGATTTCTTGATGGGAACACTGCGCCGGCTGGCGGGTTTGGTGAACAATCCCCGAACCCAGCCGCCCCTTTCGGCGGACTGGGGGGCAGCGCACCATCTGCTCCGGACACAGCCGGGATTCCCCCTCCGACACCGGCACTCAACAACAGGACCATTGGTGGTGGGGGCCGGACGGGCGCAGCCCTGCAGGAACATGTGGTGGTGACGTTGATGCCGGAGAAGGAAGGCGTCTTCCTTTTCCAGCACCACAACTATGAGGTCACGAGCGCGAGGCGGGGAAGCAAGGTGGTGCGGCGGTATAGCGATTTTGTGTGGTTGCTGGATTGTCTGCACAAGCGGTATCCATTCAGGGTGCTGCCGCTGTTGCCGCCGAAGAGAGTTGCTGGTGCGTGTCTATTATCAATGGTAATGGGGAATTATGCTGACTGGCCATGCAGTGAATGGTAACCACCTCTCCAACGACGGCGCGTTTATAGAGAAACGGCGTCGTGGGCTGGCCAGGTTCCTTAATGCCCTTGTTCGGCACCCGGTTATGAATCAGGAGCAACTGGTCATTATGTTCTTGACCGTTCCCACAGTATGTTGTCTACCCCCAATTTGCCTCTGCGTAGCTCATGCTGACAATGTACTAGGAACTCTCGGTCTGGCGCAAACAAGCCACCATCTCCGTCCAAGACGAATTCGCCGGCCGGCCCCTACCTCCCGGTCTCGAGGATTCCCTCCCGCCTACCCTCGAGGACCTCTTTAGCCGCACCCGCGCCGGTGTCCGCCGCAGCGCCGAGCTGTACATCACTGTTTGCAACCTCATGGACCGGCTAGTCAAACGCACCGAAGGCGTTGCGGCCGATCACGCGCGCGTGGCGCTCTCGCTGGTCTCTCTCACAGAAACCAGCGCAGACACATACGCCACTGATACCAACGACGTGCCGCTGCTCAATGACGGGCTGGAAGCCATGAGCCGGCACCTACGAACCGCGCAGAGCCTAATGGAGGATGAATCGCGTGCGTGGGAGGCCGGTGTGTTGGAAGACTTGAAGCGCCAGCGAGACGCGCTCGTGAGCTTGCGGGACCTGTTTGATCGCCGGGATCGCTTGGATAAGGATAATATTCCGTACTTGGAGAAGCGGATTGCGGCGAACGAGACCAAGCTGACGGGGTTACGGGCGAAGCCCGAGGGGCTGGTTAAACCGGGCGAGGTGGAGAAAGTTGTCGAGGCCATTATCAAGGTTAGCTTTTTTTTCTTTTTCTCTCTTTTTTACGACTCTCTTTGTACTACCTCTGTCCCAACGGAGGGCCACATACTGACCCCACTGCACAACAGGACAAAGAATCCATCGTCAACCAGCACAACCGGTCGGTGTTTGTCAAGGAGTGCCTGCGCGACGAGCTCAGCTACTTCCAGCACACGCAGTACAACGTCTCGCGGTGGAATCAGGACTGGGCACAGGAGCGTGTCAAGTATGCCGAGATGCTGGCGGATAACTGGAGGAGGTTGTTGGATGGGCTGGAGGGGATGCCGTTGGGAGACTAACCAACCTTCCGGGCACAGCGGGAGATTGAGTGGCGAAGGCTGTGCGAAGGGGGTCGTGGAAAGGGGGCCCCGGGGTTGAAGGGCAGGTACACTAGGATTGCTTTCCTCTTCCCGTGTACTGCGCGGGTTATAATGACTGGATGGATAAGTGTTGTCTCGCGTTGGTGTGGTACAAATGTCGCTTTTTCTTTTACCCCTTTCTTGTTTTACCTTTCTTGTTATCATGCTGTTCTACATCATACCATCATGGAGTGGCGTTCCCCCCGTCCTGTCACTTTTCTGTTCCTCTCTTATTTCCATACCACGTATACTATGCATCATAGCAGAGAAGGAGATAGCCGGAGGAGTTGTAATTGCGATACCCTGTGTCCCTTAGGGGGCTTTCTGCTAGTGTATTCTTCCTACGTACCTAGGATTCCCAATGTCTTCGTGTCCTTTTAGGCCATCTGGCCTCAACTTACCTACCTTACGGGATACAACGCGATGCCAAGGTTGGAATGGCTGCAGTCTTCTTCCCGGCCTGGCGGCCCGGCCGTTGGGACCCCCGCCATGACGTTTTTTCAGCCTTGCGCGGAACTTGTTAAGGTATCCGACTAACTGTTGTTGGCTGCGGAGCTTTGACTCTCGTTTTGGACACTGCCCTAACGAACCGACCAAATTAGCGAGCCTGCAGGTCGGTCACTAGTTTCTAGTAAAAAAGAAGAGAAGGCTTGAGACCGACGACAGCGCTTCCAAAATTCCCATCTGATGATCCCCAAGCTTCAGGTTCGGCGGTATCGAGCTCCAGCTGTCTTGCTCGCAGGGTACCTCAAGTACTGTTCCAAGGTGTTCACAACCCTTCTCGTTCCTCGGGGCCCGTTCGCAGCACCATACCTGCCTCAGAACTTTGGGGCAGCTCTGCGAACCCCGCGCGGGACAACCTGATTCCAATCTCCAGTCTTGCATCTTTGCGCTATCGCGTGTCTTGCGACCCGATTCGACCCCATTTCTGTCGCGGTGCCCCTCATTCGAGCAGGGGGCTTGCAATTTTTCTTGGCAGGCACTCAGACGCCTGAAGCTCGCAGCGCCTTGCTGCCCCTCCAAGGCTCCAAGCTTCCAAGCAGCAACCCGAAAAAGCGCGAAACGCCGCACCAACAAACTCGCCCTCCTACCCGACTTCGACTCGACTGTAAATATCCCTAGGAAGCAAAAGGACCCGACGACGGAGGGCCTCGCGAACGGCACTCACCCCACGGTAACGGATCCCGCGACGAAGCGACAGACACACACGACATCGACCAAGGGCGGGGGAAGAACTGCCCAGGCCTTTGGGTTTCCGAGCGCTGCGCGAGACGACGCGAGCACCTCCACAACCTGCGTTCGACTTCCCACGGAGCGAGCTGCGCAAAACCTCCTCCTCAACAGATTAAATACCTTTGCGCTGCCCCGCGGACGGATTTGCTTGGATCAGCGATTGGAGCGCATCTAAATTTTGGAACCCTGTTACCGTCGTATCCTCCCTCCCTCCTCATTCCACAATGCCGTCAACATCGACGAGGAGGACTCAGGTGGGCGAGCAGTTCATGGCGGTGACCAAGGCGACCAAGGAGAGCGCGAACGCGGTAGGTTTATAACCCGCTCCCCTTATCTCTTTTTTTCTTTTTTCCCCCTTCCTTTCTTCCTTTGCCCCGTCAGTCCCCCCATCGGCGCGGCTATCCGCATCCTAAGAGCCGCCGCGCCGAGTGTCACCGATCGATAGGCACGCGGAGGTTTCCTGGCTGGGCTCGCGGTCTCTTTCGGCCCGATACCGATGGGCCTCTGCGATCCTTGCGCCCTTGTATGCAATAACACTCAGCCCAGTGCAGTGCAGCGGGCAGATGCTGACGGGAATTGGGAACCGAAAGTACTTGAGAAACAGTAATTACAACCTGGATGCTGCGTTAAACCAGTAAGTTGGTACTTTTTGGTTTTGTTTTTTCCCGAAGTCTGTTTCCGGTACTCCGGGTACCTGTTTCCTATTTCCCACCACCCGCCTCGTTCCTTCGACGTCTCCATCTCCATCCCTCGCTCTCCCCCCACGTTTTCTCCCGAGTGGCCATCTCGCTGGCGGGTATATTGTATGGGCGGACGGGCGCGTGTCGTCGGCCGAAGAAATGCCGTCGAGGCGTTCTGGAATCTGAGATCGGCATTGCAACACCACGTCTCATATAGCACGACGATCCGGGGTGGGCCAGGCCCGGCAAACACTTTGTTGTTTTCTCCCATCGTTATCGTTTTGCGTGTGCACGCCTGGGCAGTGCTGCATCCTTTTCTTCTGTAAACCGCCCTGTTTGGGTTGAACGAGAGGATCGCTTTGTTTCGCTTTGTCGAACATACATAAAAAAAAGGGTCTCCAGTGGAGCCATGTTCTGCCTGTTTTAATCGCTTGCTCCCGTGGTGAGAGCGGTTGTTCGTCATACTAGGCTTTGTCCGGTCATTATTTCATCTCTGTGTTGACATACGCACATCTCGGATTTTGTATTCCTGCCTTGGGGTCTCCTGACCAAACTATTCGTCCCTTCTTTCTGGTCCAACCCTGCAACGAAAGTGTGCATCGCTCCTTCCTGCCGCCACCATGCGGAACTTCCTTCGCTCGTTCTTTCCCAAACCAAAACAAAGCCCCCCATCTCCGCCCCGAGTGGAAAGGTCGACGGAAACGGATAGCAGTGATGCTACCTTGGTTGCCGTGCAGAGTTCACCATCAGCACCATCACCGGCGCCGACGGATTCTAAACTCCCAATACGAGAACGTGTGAAGGTTATGGCGTTGGGGAAGTCCGCAGCCGGGTCAGATTCCGAGACTTCAACACCACACGACTTCAACATGCCCAGAGCTACCAAGCAGAAGTCGACCAAGTCAGCAACGCCCAAGGGCTGGAGAACAAAGAAAAAGGCCCAGGGGGCGGCAAGGTCCGGCCCCTAATTGCTTTGGCATTTCCCCTTTCTACTGTTTACTTTTGGATCCTGGCGTGCTCGCCATATCGGTTTTGTTTCGGCGTCTGGCGGGTTGTAACTAACGAGAATCTGCTGAGCGTAGGTACTACAATGACACCCAAGGCCATCCTACCAACCGTGCGGAGGCCGGGATCCGGTCCGAGCTAGACAGCTTTTTCAACGAGCTCATTCCGAGTATGCTCATTCCCAAAGAAAGCCCTTCAGCCTGGGCTTTGTTACATAACACTAATCTGCAAACCACAGGTGACGAGCGGGCTCAGAGCTCGGAACCCATCCCCGAAATTGGCGCTGAGTTGTCCATGGCTTACATCGAAGAGCTCGGCGTCAACATGGCCAGCTACGAACTCTTTGTGGTCTTGGAAATCGTCCGCGCCGAAGCCATCGGCACCATCACCCGATCCGGTTTCGTCGACGGCTGGACCCACGCCATCCTCGACAGCCACAGCCCCACCGAGACCGACATCACGGCCCAGCGCCGCATTGTGCGCGACCGCATCATCAAAGCCGTCACCGACTCGGATTACTTCAAGGTCCTCTACGACTTCGCCTTCCAGGTCGGTCGCGAACCACCGCAAAAGGCCATCAGCATGGCCGTGGCCGTCGGGTTCTGGGAGGGCCTGTACGAGCCCTCGAGCAACCCGTGGCGCTCCGCTAATGTCGACTGGCTCGTGCAATGGACGACTTATCTGAAGGAGAAGTTCGGCGTCGTCAAGACTGGCGAGGACGGCGAGGAGGAGATCGAATACAAGCGGACCGTTAGTAAGGATCTGTGGACTCAGACTCGGCTGTTTGCGGCAAAGACGATGAAGGATGAGACCCTAGGGTTCTGGTCTGAGGAGCAAGCGTGGCCAGGGCTGATCGATGAGTTTGTCCTGTGGTGTCGCGAGAAGGGCGTAGTAGCAACGGGGACCGAGTAGACAACACCTTGGTACAAGGGTTGTCGTAGATTCCGTGAATCAGGGAGTTAGGGGGCATAGCGTGGCTTGGTTTGGGCGTGACACCGCATGATACGGCAGGACCAAGGTTTGCGAAGTGGAAGCGGGTGCCACAAAGTGGATAGTTAGCACCATATCCTCAGCTTTCTGCCTGTGTTGATAGGAATTGCTCAGCATTCCTGGCTTGCATACACACATACACAAGATTACACCCATACAATGCTGCTTCCCTGCCAAAGACATCGTGGGAATTTGATATGTGCCCCCTCCCCCAGATTACATCTTCTCCTTGCTCCCCTTCAGCGGCCTTCATTGTTGCAACCCTTGAAGAGCTGGCTGGGACTCGCTCCATGCCGAGCTACCAGGTAATACCGTTCTCTGCTCCCTCAAGAAGGCACCAACGGCCAGATCAGGGTCGGTGTTTTCCTCACGATGGACGGCTCTGATGGTATGTTCGTTGGTTGTCGTGGTCGGCCAATTCCACATACCACGTTACGCCTGTCGCCAGGGGTATGCCCGGCAAAGTTACCACTGGCACCGAGTAGGCGGGCGGGCGCTAGACGGCAAGGACGGGTAGGTGGGCGGGCGGCCGGTCGGTCGGTTTCTCGACACGGGAATATGTGGGGATGCATGAGTAAACGATGTATGATACGGTATGGTATGCTACCACGCTGACTGGGCCTGGCAAATGGGATTGCGAGAGAACACGAAACCGGGTCAACGTTGGGGTAGGAGTCGGGCCGGTGTCGTGGAGGTGAGGCGAGGTGAGGGAGGGTGTTTCACTTTACTTACCGTGATTGGTATACGCGGTATTGGCATGCTGGGTTGGGTTAGGTTGGGTCATGGGATGTGAGGTGGTATTTGGGGGTGGTTTTGGGTTTTGATGGGAAATGGAACCGAGATAACGTTAAAGCTGAGATGGGTCTTCTATTGAAGATTGGGATTGGAGGGTTTGTCAAGGGGCATGATTTTGATGGCGGTTAAGGGGGCAGGAGGCAAATGTGCATCATCAAGTTGGGCGTAGCAGCACATTACAGAGCTCAGCATGACCGAGAATCGTTGGGTGGTATAGTGTCAGTGTTTGTTTTGATACATTTATCATCTCTCCCGCGCTATCGCACCGGGCCGCGTACGTCGTTCGTCGTTCGTCGTCGTAGCAGCTCCACGCTATCGTACATGTACGGCTATGATCGTACATCTGTGTCTCGGTCCTTCGCAGAGCCCGCTTTTGTCGAAACACCGATAGCATAGACGCGTCGTCATAACGGACGTCGGTATTCTTCGTCAACATGCCACCGGAGTCGCCCAAACTGGTTTCCTTTGCCGTTACCGCTCCTCCCATCCACCCCTCCATGACCCTTGAATCCCCCTCTTCAATCTCCTCCATTCCTTCCCGAAACACCCCAGTGCGCCGAAGATATCACCCATATGTTCCCAAACAACACCACCCACTCACTCCATCTCATCCCACTTAATCCTCCCAAATTTGCTCAACGTCGCGAGCTTCCCATCCCCCAACTTCACCCCACCGGAGCGAATCACCCGCGGGTCGAGCCGTAGCGTGCTGGTGACGGCCTGGTGGGTAGCCACGCTGGCGTCGTAGCGCAGAACAAAGTAGTGGCCCTTCGAGTAGCGGGTCTGGTGTAGAGAGACGGTGCGTGGCAGGTGGAAGATGCCCCAGTTCGCGACGTCGCGGATTACGCCGCCCTGGCGGAGGATGGTTTGGCCGGCCGCGAGGACGAGTCTGTTTGTGTGTGGTATAAGGGTTAGTGGGTTTTGCGTTTTTGACAAGATTGTAGAACTCAAGAGAAAGGAAAAGCTGAGAGGGGGCGGCGGAAGGGGTCGTCGGCGTGCGTACTCTTTGACCTCGTGGATACTGTTCGGGCGAACCTGCGATCAAACTCGTTAGTACTCTCCTCCGGCTGGCTTCTTTCGAGAAATCCCCAAAGGTTACTCACAATGCCAATTGTCTCGTACAACATCTTGGGTGGGCGACGTCAATCCCGGGAAACTAATGAAAGGAATTGTCGGTTATCGCAGTCGGCTTTCTCGCTCGCAGGTCTTCGAAGCCCGCCGTCATGGTGAATGTGGAGTACCCCACTTTAAATTTTGGCGGTTTGCCGGGATTCTGCCGCTGGAGGGGCACACCGCCTTTATCTTTTCCCCCACGTCCCCCAAGCCACCGAGACACAGGTCACCCTGGAGGGCTGGTTTATAGCGGCTTGTCTCCTGAACGAAACCGTGTAGCAACGAACACGGACACATCAGGGGAATAATTACCACTCCATTGCTCGCAATGGATTTAACTCGGGACACCTCTATGAGGGTAACGTAGCACACACCACAACGTAGGACATAGGATATAGGGAAGACAATGCAAGGCAATGCTCATGCATATCCTATAAATTCTCAGTCTAAACTCACAAATGACCCCCCCCTCCCCTTTCTAATAGCCCACGACCATGCCCTGACGGAACTAGAACAAATAAAATAACAGCAGTACAAAAAGAAAATGCGGTATAAAAACGAGCGCAATGCGATGTCCTAAATCCAACGCCGTAATGAGTTGATCAACCTCCATAAAAACGAACGTGACAAAGGAGAATTGGTCCCAGGGCCGGACTATACTGGCCTTCCGCAGCTCTCCCCTCCAATGTCTGATTAGACCAACGCAGTTTTCCTAAACCTTCCAAATCCGCCTTGTGTTATGACGTGTTTTGTTATTATTAATCCGAATCCGGCCCAGGAAGTATCTCGGGATCGATAGAGTTCCAAGTCGCTTCTATCGCCTCACTGTGTAATCCGTTAGCAACCGATCAGGATTCGAACCAGGCCCCTAACCCAAAGAGATTTAAGAAACGTAAAAGAAAGAAGAAACTTACACACTCCTCGCAACAACCCTTATCCCCATCTCCCGAACCAAAAACCTTAAAAACCGCCTCTTGGTCCGATCCCGCCTAAACTGCGCCATCACATCCCCGCGCGGCCCCACATCACGCCCGTCTTTGCCCTTCTTATGCGTCACTACCACCTTGGTAGAACCGGGAGCGTGAGACACCTCCTCGATATCGGCCAGTTTCAGATGGAAGTTACACGGCTTCTTGAAGACGGACCACTTGATGGGTCCCACGTCCTCGAGGACCTGGTGCTCGATGACCACACGCTGGTTCGGGCCGTTGTCCTCGTGGTGATGCGCGCGGCGGTGCTTGGACTTGGACGATGGTCGGCGTGGGTACGGGTGCTGGTTCTCGTCTTTAACCCAGTGCCAGTACTGCGTGACACGCGGGTTGGTGCCCTTGGAGCGTGTGCGGACTTGGTTGAGTTGCCAGTCGTTCTCCATTAGCCGGTCGCCGCTGATGGAATCGGACGAGGTGTAACCGTCGTAGTCGAGCGTGGAGCCGATGTCCGAGGTAGCCTCTTCCTCTGCGGGGTTATCAACTTGGTCGTTGTCCTTCTGCTGGTTGTTGACGACAACGACTTGGGCAGGGGGTGATTTGGCGGTGATGCTGTCGTGGGTCTTTTCCTTGTCGTTGTCCTCTTGTGCTTCTTCCTCTTCGACTTCGCGTTCCTTTTCGGCTTCCCCTTCCGCTTCACCTTCCGACTCGTCGTCAGCCTCGTCCGGGTCAGACTGGCGTTCCTCGATCTTTGTCTTTGTAGGAGAATTCTTGAGAACAATGGTGGGCCGTTTCTTGGACGGGGACAGGCTGCTGCTCTTGGGTCCCTCGAGAAACTGTTGCCCAGACGAGGCGACAATCTTGATCTTTTTGACCCTTTGCCCTTCGCCATTGGGAGCAGGAGCAACGGATTGCCCCGAGGTCGACTCTGCTGTTGTCGGCCGCGATTCCTGCTCGGCAGAAGTGCCACTACCCACAGCCGCCCTTGCTCTAGTCGGCGTCGCATCCGGTGTCTGATGCGGATCCTTGC